AGTCTAAAATAAGAAAATGTAGACAGAATGAATATCAAACCGAGGTCATAGAAGCCCAGCGGGCGTCGCGTCTTCAGAAAATGAAAGACTACTGCTGCCTTAATGTACAGGAGTTCAAATCTCCTAAGTTTGCTGGCTGATGCTAGACATGTACAATTTCATTTATCACAAAAATGTTAGGTGGCCAGCGGAACCACTTAATCCGATTCCACGCACAATAGCACCACGCAACCCAAGAGACACTCGAATCCATCGATCCCGTAAGATATATGAAACTCGAAGAGAAAGCGATGCAACCATTGGATGTCTCGACTTTGTTTATTAATATTCCTCTCACAGAAACGATGGAATACCTGTGCGATTAGAGTGCTAGGCAGGCATTCCCAGTTTGCATGCCGGTCGTAGTTCTGGAGCAGTTGTTTCTTCGCTGCATATTCAGCACTCAACTCAGATTCGATAACCAATTTCACCGCCAGATCGACGGTGTTGTGGAGAGCGGAAGCGATGCGGAGTCACGTTCAAAGGCAAACGGAAGACCCGACCATGAGTTTAGGGAGTTCTGGCCGACCTTTAATAGGTAGGTATCCAGACGCCTATACACTCACGTTGGTGGAGTGCGCAACATACATTGAAGAAGAATTTTATTGTCGAATGACTCCTTGTGAGAAAAAGAAGGAACCTTGATTGGTGTGGCATAGTTCCTTTTTAAGTTGGCAGTCATGACGTCGAAGATTCGTCTTCGGTACAGTTTCGAGAAAAATTTCCCTACCTACATCATGATCAAATCCCCGTAGCAACTGAGACGTTGGTATAAGGTCACTACTGTATTGTGGAGGGGGTAGAGGTTTAAGGCGGTCGGGTGCTGTTCGCACGCCCACCCCCTCGCGGTGAAGGGGCTAGAAAAAAAACTTCAAACAAATGCTATTATCACGTATTCTGCACACAGGCGGTGACTCACCGGTATAAAACTCATGGCCGAAATAGTCAAACAGAAAACAAATCCTGTCCCTATTTACTAACAGAAGTGAAAAGGCAGTTTCAGGAAGAAGTCGCAGAGACGGAGACATGATCGCTGGAACAGGTGTTTTATCAGCCTGACGTTTTGGATTCTCACTCGAATTCATCACCACAGACCGAAACTGTGAGCCCGGTATGTGGATGATGCCTTTATTGCCGTCGAACGGGATCAGGTGCTGGAATTCAAAGTACACCCCAACGCCGTCTTCCCCGACATTCAATTTACGATGGAGGAAGAGGAAACAACCAGCTGGCCTATCTTGATGTCCTCGTCTGAAGCAGAGATTGTGGTGGCTTAAAAACCAAAGTATTCAGGAAAGCGACAGACACGACGCAAGTACTGAGCTGCAACAGCAGCCACCCAATCAGTCACAAACGGAGTTGCGCAAGGACGTTATACCAGCGGATGGAGACACACTGCAGTGAACCGGAAGACAAGGTTTCTGAATTGCAATACCTTTGACGGGTGCCTAGGGTGAATGGCTACCCGCGCAACTTCGTCAACCAGTGCCTGTGTAAACGAGATGAGAGAAAAATTCAACCGGCCCAAAATTTTGACGAGCTGCTCCGTACACGAAGAACGTCTCAGAAGCCGTCAGCCGCCTCCTTACGTCCCTTGGAATTGGGGTTGCACACGGACCGGAGGCAACCGTAAGGCGCCCCATCATAAGGCCGAAAAACCCACTGCCACGACAGGAAACATCTGGGGTCGTTTACCGGATCTGGTGCAATTGTAAGCAAAGCAACTATGTCAGAGAAACCGATAGCCTACTCTGGACGCGGTTGGCCGAGCACGCGGCAGCAGTGGAGAGACGCCAACTTCCAAGTCGCGGCTCATTCGATAGGACCCAACCAAACATTCAAGTTTAACGAAGCAGAAGTTCTTGCTAGAGGCGACAATCGCGCGAGCCGCAAACTGCTCGTGTCATGGTATTCCGATCCTCAATCAATCAACAAGCGCAACGATCTCCCCTCTCCATATACGGCGCTGAGACTTAGTCTAGGCAAAGTCGTAAGCCGCGAGGAGAGCGTGTGGATAACCAGTGCCCCCGGTATCAATGTCGGCGAGCCAAATCACCCAAGAGTCCACACGGATGACGAAATCTGGTAGTCAGCCCCTCGGAGGAGCACGATGAGCCTGGGAACCAATAATCTTGACCGGCATGCAGGCGCAAAGCAACACTTGGCCAGTCGAGCTGTGATGCGCTCGGGAGCTGCCAACTGTGATAGGCATGCAGCGGCCTAACAACTAAGTCTCGTAAATATTGCAACACCTGGGCAATCAACTACCCTTATCTGATTCCGTCTCTGATGAGTCAGCATCCGAAACGTCAGGCTAATAAAGCACTTGTTCTAGCGGTCGTGTCTCTTTCTCCGCCTGTCCCCATCCCCACGATCCCACAGATTGCTCAAGTGACTATCGTCAATCTAGGAGCCTGGAATGTTCGTTTACTTTAAGACAATCTGAGGAGCAACCGACCGGGAAGGCGGACGGCGTTGATTGCTCGAGAATTAGCACACTACAAAGTAGACATCGCTGTTTTCAGAGAGACCCGCTTTTCCGAGTAAGGTTGAATGGTGGGGGATGGATGCCGGGTGCATCTTATGGAATGACCGCCCAAAGGCATCGCCTTTACTATCCAGAAAGACACTACGGAAGGACTGTCGTACCTGTCGCAGAGCATCAGCGACCGATCCATGAGCATGCGCCAGCATCTTGTGGGAGCCAAATTCGCCAACCCCATCAGCGTGCACGCCTACGCAATGAGCCAATCGGAGCAAGTTTTACGGAGACCTGCACGCCCTGCGGCGACCGTGCCGAAGGCGGCCAAGCTGATTTTCTTTTGTGACTTTAGTGGTCGCACGGGTATAGACCACGCTGTCTGAGGGGGAGTTCTAAATCCCCATGACCTTGGCGGATGCAACGATAACGGCCTCCCATTTCTGCGAGCCTGCGCAGAACACCGCCTCCGACAACCGATCAACAGATTCCGACCGAACTCCAACCAGCGACTTTCAACTCCTGGTGCGGGGGAAGGCAACGTGGATGTACAGTAGGTGGGTTAACTCGTGAAATGTCAACCGAGATTCCTAATTGCGTTTTCGTTTCGAAAAGATTAATTAAGTAAGGTTGTAAAACTATTAATCATGCAGCATGGTTCTATAGTAATTCAGTTACCTCAGGATGCCGGCTTTCGAATGAACTTCTTTCCGGCTTCATGCAAAAAGTATACTCTGTAAAAGGCGATTACTTAAGTAGCATGCATTTTTCGCAAGCATTTTTGACGCCTTTAAACTTTAAATTATATTTCATGGAAATCTGCATAAAAATATTTACTCTTTTGCTCATTCCTTAGAAAGTTACGTCTTCTTCCAATTTCATACTCGAAAGAAGGGGATAATTCGGTTTTAAAAAAGTTTCTAATTGTGAGATTTTTTTAATACTGTGAAACGGTCGTTTATAAAACGTCATGTCCCTGCATTTACCAATGTAGCTTGTAAAGTTAACAACATGGCTGAAATTTATTGTTAAATTTTATGAATCCCATATGATCCCCTCTTAATACCGTAGAGAAATGTGTGGATATCCGTACACGGAAAATATATGGCTTGTAGTTTTGAAACCCTGAATCCAAGTGTAACGGTAGAGCGGGTTCAAAATCATTCGGGAGTTGGAAAAGTTTTTAAAAACCAAATTATTCCTTTGCCCGAGTATCAGATTGAAGGAACAGGTAATTTTCTACCAAATGAGTAAAAGAATGAATATTCTTCTGCATCTTTTCCATGACATATAAGTAAATTTTTGAGGGTATCGAAAATCGATGAGGAAAATGCATGCTACTTAAGTAGTCATTTTTTACCGAGTATACTTTTTGGATGCAGCCGAAAAGAAGTTCATTTGAAAGTTGGCATCCTGAGGTAACTGAATTATTGTAGAATTATGCTACACGATAATTAGTTTTAAAAGCCTATTTAATGAATCTTTTTGAAACCAAAACGCATTCCGGAATTTCGGTCGACATTTCATGAGTAAGCCCACCTACCGTACATCTGATCGCAGCGTTGGCAGCTGCTGGACCGTGTTCTCGTCCGGCCGCAATATCGTCCGGATGTGCTGGTGAGCGACGCTGACAGCTGGACGGATCACCGCCTCGTCATCTCCAAGATGAGTCACCGACTGCAAACCCCCCAGGAGACCACAAGGTAAGCAATCACCAGGAGAGTTAAGTACTCTTCTGTCGAGTCTTCCTGCTCGCAGCTTCGATTTAAACCATCAGCTGACCCGGCGACTGGAAGAAATGCAGGCTCCAGACGACAACGCCACCGCAGAGACACAGTGGCGCAAATTGCGGGACGACATCCACTGCGGCGCTACAAAGTAGACATCGCTGCTCTCAGAGAGACCCGCTTTTCCGAGTAAGGCCGAATGGTGGGGGGTGGATGCCGGGTACATCTTATGGAATGGCCGCCCAAAGGCGTCGCCTTTACTATCCAGAAAGACACTACGGAAGGACTGTCGTCTCTCGCAGAGCATCAGCGACAGATCCCTGAACGTGCGCCTACCTCTTTTGGGAGCCAAATTCGCTGACACAATCAGCGTACACGCCTACGCAAAGAGCCAATCCGAGCAACTTTTACGGAGGCCTGCACGCCCTGTGATGAGTGTGCCGAAGGCGGCCGAACTGATTTCCTTTTGTGACTTCAGTGCCCGCATCGGGATAGACCACATTGCCTGAGAGGGGGTGCTGAATCCCCATGACCTCGGCGGCTCCCGCGGTGACGGCCTGCCATTTTTGCGAGCCTGTGCAGAACACCACCTCCTCCTGACCGACAAATCCCAACCAAACTCCAACCAACAACTTTCGCCTTCTGGTGCGAGGGAAGGCAACGTGGATGTACATCTGATTGCAGCGTTGGCAGCTGCTGGACTGCGTTCTCGTCCGGCCGAAATATCGACAGGATGTGCTGGTAACCAGGGCGGTATGCGACGCCGACAGCTGGACGGATCACCGCCTCGTCATCTCCAAGATGAGTCGCCGACTGCAACCCCTCCAGGAGACCACAAAGTAAGCAATCAACAGGAAAGTTAAGTACTGTTCTGTTGAATCTTTCTGCTCAGGGCTTCGATTTAAGCGATCAGCTGACCCGGCGACTGGAAGAATTGCAGGCTCCAAACGACAACGCCACCGCAGAGACACAGTGGCGCCAATTGCGGGACGCCATTCGCACCCCCTCGGTCGCCCATGCGGTCAAAACCAGAACTGGTTTGGCGACACCGACGAAGAAATCCAAAATCTGCTTAAAGAGAAGAACAGACCACCGCCGGATCGACGAAAAAAGGCCGCCCTGGTGCAGCACCGACTGCCGGAAGTGCAAAGCTGCGGGATAGATAGCGAGGAAATTCAAGGGTACGCGGAAGGTAATGAGACGAAGAACTTTAGAGCCTCCGCCAGGGTAGTCTACGGTCCCTGGATCGAAAAAATCGCGCCTGTCCTCAGCTCTGACGGAGCAGCACTTCTGACGCAGAAGTCGCAGATTTTGAAACGCTGGGTTTGACAGTTCAGAAGCGTCCTTAACCGTCCATCCATGACCTCCGACACTGCCATTGTCCAGGTCACTCACGTGGGAACGAAACACGACCTGGACCTCTCACCTCCTCTTCCAGAAATAATCAGGCGGGGCGGCCTCTGGCTGATGGACAAACTTACGACGGTATTTCCTGAGATGTGGCATCGAGGAACGAGGGTAAGATGTGGTTACATAGCCCTACCAGATGGACACAATACTGTTAGGGGTTAGAGTTAGGGGTTAAAGTTAGGCGTCAGGGTTAGGGGTTAGGGCAATTATTTCTCAACCCACTCAAAGTACAACCGCGCATTCCCAGTAGCTTTTCTTTTGCGACAACTACTTGACCTCGTCGCCTGTGCTTTCCCCGGCTCCAGCTTTAAAGACACCCTATTACCACCGGTTCAGTTTTACAGATGGCTGGGGTTTGTCTACCCCAGGTGGGACTATATAACCGCATCTGTCCAGGACGAGTTTCTGAGAACATCAGGGACGCGACGATCGTCCATCCCTAAAAGCGGAAAGGGAAGCGGCAAACCTGTGATAATCAGCGGGTAGGCTCGCTGTTCAACACTACCGGGATATCTTCGTTTGCATCCTTCTCAACCGTCTTAGTGAACATCTGAAACATGCATTTCTCTCGGAAAGTCAGTATGGCCCCCGATGATATTGTGGAACCGCCTATACAACCTCCGGCCCCCAGAAGAGGAGTGCCAGTAGATGCGGACCCACAGCCCCTGAATCGCGATGGAGTGTAGGGAATCACGCAGAAATTCAGCTGACCTTAGCAATTCTTGCACGTGATGCACCCGCTCCATGACGCGATGGTGGCGCGCGCGTCTAAGATGCAGCCACAGTGAGTATTTCAGCGAAACAGGGCTGCATACCCGCTTCTACCCTCTTTATTCTCATGTCATCTGCCATGCTAATGGAGGTCTACCGTGATGAACGGCCTGGGGTCCGGCGGTCAGTTTATAAATAGCCGGTGTGTATGGGGCCCAGTGCGTCTACCCACAACTTCTGTCCCTAATCTGCTCCTAGAGGACGACTGCGCACTCGTCACCGCTACAGAAGCGGATATGCAGCGGAGCATGAATCTCTTCGCCGCCATGGTTCAATACTCGATACAACGACCCTTGTATCACTGTCGACTGAAAACCGTGGACAGTTCTGCCTAACTGGACAGCATACCTTCACGCAGCCGCAAACTGGACGGCAATGTAGGCCATCCGATCCTCAAAGCCCGCCAAGCCTTCAGTCGGCTGCAGAAAACAGTATGGAATCGCTACGGTCTCCATCTCATCAATAAATTCAGGACGAATGAAGCTGTCCTCTTGGTGACGCTGCCTGGACGGTCTAACAGAAACAAGTGCTGCTTAGATGGCAAGACAGGACCGTGGGCACGGAAATCACTTGCGATTGAACGGCCAAGGATGAACGACGAACTCCTACAGAGATGTCGTAACGAGTGCTCGCCGACAGATCGACCTGGAGACCTGGGACGGCATCGCTCAGGGCTGGCCAGACCGAAACACAACAGCGAATGACAGGAGCGGGTATGCATGGCTCAATAATAAAACCACCCTTGTATCAGAAGACGAAGATGTGATCACTGGAACAAGAAATTTATTGGCCTGACGTTTCGGATTCACACGCGGGTCCATCATCAGAGACATTCGCAGATAAGGGTAATGGTGGCACAAGGACTGCAGTATGTATAGCACGTGGCTGCCGTGGGGCCCTATGCGTACTATAATTAACAACTCTCGCAATCACCGCTGGGAATCGAAATTGATGCGATGGTGGATTGTCAGTCCGAGTCCTTAATGGCCGGGATTTCGTCATCCGTGCTGGATGCTGGTGTGACGATTGTTCGGCAAATTGGCTCACTGTCACTGTGATAATTGTTCACCCGCGCCCTCCCCACGTGACTGATTTCCCTGCTCAGGGAAAATCTCAGCACGGAATATGGTACCGGGATGTCATTGCGCTTGTTGATGGATTGCGGGCCTGAGAACCATGACTCGAGCAGCAGATCACATCTTCGTCTTCTAAAATTCTACCTGGAACTCGCCTGTTCGCTTCTATCGGTGACCCTTGTATCACTGTCGACTGAAAACCGTTGACAGTTTTGCCTATTTAGGCAGCATACCTTCACGCAGCCGCAAAATAGACGGCAAAGTAGGCCATTCGATCCTCAAAGCCCGTCAGGCCTTCGGTCGGCTGCAGAAAGCAGTATAGAATCGCTACGGTCTCCATTTCAGCAATAAACTCAGGATGAATGAAGCTGTCCTCTTGGTGACGCTGCTTGGACGGTTTAATAGAAACAAATGCCAAAAATCACTGACTTCGGAGGATTCTAATGTTGAGATGACAGGACAGGACCGTGGGCACAGAAATTTCGGGACGAACCGTGATCCTTAGTATCCACGTTTTGTTGAGGCAGCTTCAGTTGGGATAGAACGGCCACCTCGCGAGGATGGACGAGGAACGACTGCTACAGAGGCGTCGTTACGAGTGCTCGCCGACAGGAAGAACAAACGTTCAATCCCGCTCAGGGCGGGTAAGCCCGGAATACAACAGCGAAAACCGGAACAGCGATGTATGAAGCTGCAAGCTGCAAAAGCCATAAGAACGGTTCGGAAGTCTCAAGCACGTCCGACAAATTAAACCACTCAACCCATTCCCACGTGCCGACGCTTCCAACAAACATTTCATGCGCGAATCAGCCCTATCATACATCTCTGAAGCCAAGGCAACAAGAACCCGACAAATCCACATGCTTCCTCCGCAGACGCCCCATCGTCAATCCTGCCCCGTGACTTCCGCGGCGACCACCACCACCATTGCCACCACCACCATTGCCACCACCACCATTGCCAC